ATGATGCACAACACATACATCACCGTGGGGGGGCTCTGGCCCCCCGTGCCGACACTCCGTGAGCGAGCTTTGTGAAGCGTCATCCGCTGATGCCCTCCACTTGGTCCCCCCTCCCCTCGCCACTTCCCCCCCCCCCCACCCTGCACTTCGCTCGTCCCGCTCCCTCCTCGTGAGCGCGTGGACGATGGATGGTGAAGGGAGAGCGGCGCGCACTGGGCCCCGCCGGCCGGAAGCTGCGGCGATGTCTGCGAGAACAAGCATATGTCCGAGGGGTCCGCCTGCGCGGCCCGCATGAGAGCATCACTCGAGTCCTTGAAAGCTGAGCAGCACCCGCTCCACTGGCGTTTCGTGATGAGTCTTGAATCGACCAATAATCCGACCCGTGGGCTCTTCCCATGCATGGTGACCGTTTCATTGCAATACCTATCTGCGCCTGAGCCTCTCTCCCCCTCGCACTTTTTTTTGTGTGATATTGCTATTCGCCGTGGTAGTTGTTTTAATTATTATTTTTTTATGTTCCGTTTCGTTGTTTTCGTCTGGTGTTGCGAGGCTTTTTTGGAAGGTGTGCAGTTGCAATGTCACAGGGAGCGGCGTCGGTAACCTCCCCGTGGGGCCTGTGGGGGGAAGTCTGCGGTGTTGCCTCGTCGGCGTACGATGTGGCCTGCGGCGCGCGTTCTATTGAGGCGTTTCTCTCGTACGACGCGGACGCCCGGCCGTTGAATGGGCGTGCCGTGCTGCTGAGCTCGCATCTGCTGCTCAGCGAGGCGGTCGGGGGCAGAGTGGTGTTTTGGGTGGCGCTGGCGTCGGTGCGAGGGATGCGGTGCCGGGGGCGGCTGTTGCTTCCGGGGAGGTCCTTCGACTGCGCAACGGGCGAGGCCGACGAGGCGCCCGCCCTCGACGGCGAGGACGACGAGGACGGCGGCGGCCCCGGCACCACCGTGGCGGTGGCGCGGAGGATCGTCGCGCTGGACATTTTCCTCGAAGGCGCCGCGGTGACGCTGCGGGCGATGGGCGCGGAGGGGGAGCAGTTTGCCCGCGCCGCCCTGCTGCTGTGGCGGCGGTGCCACGCGGAGGCGGCGAGCCCGCTGCATCACCCCGGCGACGCCGCCTACGCGCTGGCGGGGGCGCCCGTCCGCCTCTCCGCGACCGTCGTGCAGTGCATGGCAGGGGAGGCGCACCGCCGGCTCGAGGCCGGGGAGGCGGTGGAGATCGTCATGCCGAGCGAGCGGGATATATGGATCGCCCGGCGGCCGCGCATGTCCGCCACGTTTTGGCGCGACCTGCGCAGCGGTCCCGCGGAGGAGCTGCAGGTGCTGCCGGTGGACAGCCTCGCCGCGCTGGTGGCCCTGCCTGGCACCACTCTGCGGCTCGTGGGCTGCGGCGGCGACACGTGGCTGTTCGCCGTCGCCGACCCTGCGACGGACGCCGTCGTGCGGCACGCGCTGCAGCGGCTCATCGAGTTGTTTCTGCTCGGGGTGATGCGTAGGGGGCGGGGCGGCGGCGCCGTGGAGCCCCGCCACCGGCTCCGCTACTTTGACCTTGCCGCGCTCTACCAGCAGTACTGCGCGATGGACGCGGAGGGCGTCGGCTACATTCTTTGCTCCTCGCTGGAGGCGGCGATGGGGCCGCTCCTCGCGTGCGACTCGCGCCTGGTGCAGGCGATGCGCTGCCACGACGACGACGGCGGCAGCAGCGGCAAGGTGAGTCTGCCGACTTACTTAAACCACATGCGGGTTCTGCTGCAGGGGAGCGTTGCGGAGCGGGCCAACGTTGCCTTCCGCGCCTTCGGCGGCGACACGTGCGGCGGGGCGGTGGCGGCGGGCCTGCAGGAGGCGCATGGGGCGGCGCACGCAGAGGAGGAGGAGGGGACGCCAGCAGCACAGCAACAGCGAAGTGGCCGCGTGCGGCTGACGGACTTTAAGCTGATCGTGCACGACATTCTCGCCGGCCTCGCCCACGCCCCCGCGGACGCGGCGGAGCCTGTCGAGGACGCCGCAAACCGCCTCCTGACGGCCTCGCTGCACGCTGACGGCAACGACGACGACGACACGGCGGTGTCGTTCGAGGCCTTCCTGCCTGCCTACAAGCTCCTGATGGGGCTGCTGCGGCCGGGGGAGGTGCGGGGGTACGAGACGCCGCCGGTGTTTGGCACGCCGCGCCCGCCGCTCGGCTTCGGCTCGGCGCACTGGGTGCTGCTCACGTACGTCATGACGGGGGTGGAGGTTTCGGTCCGCGCCGCGGCGGCTGCTGCGGCAGACTGCGGCGAGAAAAACACGTTTGACCTCACCGCCGGGACGCCAACCATCGCGGGGCTCGCCTCACTTCGGAGCGCCGAGGCCGCGGGCGGGGCGCCGAATTTTTTTCAGAAGCGCCTCCCGTCTCTTCAGGGCGAGCGGGTGACGTTCACCGACTACAACCCGCTGCTCTTCGCCGCCGTGCGCCGGCGGTTTGGGATTGCAGAGGCGGAGCTGCTGCGCTCCCTGGGCATCAGCGCCCTGCGCGCCAGCCTGCTGCTGGGGTGCCTCTGCGCCCCGCGGGTCCTGCGCAGCAGCGGCCGCAGTGGGGCTCTGCTGCTCAGCAGCCACGACTACCGCTTTATTCTGAAGCGGGTGACGCACACGGAGTGCCGCACGCTGCGCGGCCTGCTCCCCGCGTACGTTGAGCACTTGGACCGCCATCCCCACACCCTGCTGCCGCGCTACTCCGGCCTCTACGCGCTGTGGCGGGGCGGCGAGAAGGCCACCGTCGTCGTCGCGGCCAACGTCTTTGCGCCCGCCCAGCTCCCCGTCACGGAGGTGTACGACCTGAAGGGCTCTACGGCGCACCGCACCACCGCCGCCGAGGACCGCAGGCACGGGGCCGCGGGTAAAGACAACGACTTTTTGGCGGACAAAAGGCGGCTGCGCCTCCCCGCGGCGGCACGGCGGGCGCTGCTGGCGCAGCTGGAGGCCGACACCGCGCTACTGGAGAAGGCAAACCGGCTCGACTACAGCCTCCTTGTCGGGATACACAGCGGCGCGGGGGGCTGGGGCGCGACCGCGGAGGCCGCGGCGCTGGCACTGCGTCAGCGGCAACGGATGGAGGCGCTGGCCGCGGCCCTCGACGCTCCGGCGAGCGACCCCAACGAGGACCAGCGGGGCGACAGCGTGTTCCACGCGTACTACGGCGGTGTGGCCTCCGCTGACGGAACGGAGGTGTACTTCCTAGGCATCGTGGACTGCCTCACCACCTACGGCCTGAAGAAAGTTGGCGAGCACTACAGCAAGTCCGTGCTGCTGCAGGACATGAATAAAATCAGCTGTGTTCCACCGCCGGTCTACCGATCACGATTTTTGAACTTCATGCGCACAGTCATGGATAGTTGAAACACACACAGACACGCCGGCGTGCAAATGTCACGTACGCACATATCGCTACATCTTCCCCTCTCCCTCTCCCTCTCCCTCTCCCTTTAGTTACGTCATGAACGCTTGGCTGTTAAGCTTCTGCCTCTCCCCCGGCTGTTGTTGCCGTGGTTTTACTCTCTTTTTCTGTGATTTTGCGCGTGCATTATTATTATTATTATTATTATTATTATTCTGCTGTTGGTGGAAGTGGGCCGAATTGGAGATGTATTTTTTGGTCTTGTTTCTGAGGGCTTTCTCTTTTTTTTTTGCTGGCGCGTGCGTGAGGGTCTTGACCGCGCGAAGTACGGCGGGGAAAGCAGCACGAGCGGCTGTGTAGTGGAGATGCGTGCCGGCGCAGGCGGCGCGCCGCCGCAGGGGGATGGGGGTCTCCGCGCCCTCCTCTCGCCGTGCCTCTCCGACGCATTTTGCAGCTTGGACGTCGCCGCGGTGGAGCGGGTGCTGGTCGGTGCCGTGGCCGACCTGCGACGCGGAGAGGCGCGGCAGTGGGGCGACGGCGCGCTGGAGAGCGCCTGCAGGTCGCTGCTGTGTGCGTACGTTGTCGGCCTTCGCCTGGCTGTAGGGGCCTTTGCCCCGGAGGAGGAGGACGCCCCGCGGTCTGCGTGGCGCGCGTTGCTGAAAATTACGGCGTGCACGGGCCGTGCCGTTGCGGAGATGTGCGCCGTGCCGGGCGCCGCCGCCGCAACGGCGGGCGCGGTCGTGCAGGTGCTCTCGGCTCTTCTGCGGCCGCCGTCGCCGGCGCGGGAGACGCGGCTCTTCTGGCGCTGCTACCCGTGGTGGTGCTGCCTTCTCCGGCACTGCCTTGCGCTGGCGGTCGGCGAGGGGGCAGGAGGCGCAGGGATGGAAGCCGCCGCCTGTGGCGTGGCGGCCCGCGCCTTGAGTTGGGTCTCGCGCCGCTACGCCGCGGAGGCGGCGGGGCGCGGCGTCGTCTTCGACGTGTCGGTGTTCCTCTCCGCCCTCGGCACCGGCGGCGGGGATGCGGCGGCGACGGCGCGGCCGGTCCACGCCTTCACCCGCGCTGAGAGGCGACGGGGGGCCACCGACGAGGAGGACGAGGAGGAGGAGGCCAACCCCTGCGATTTACTCGCGGCGGAGCTCGGCAGCCTTTTTGCTCTGCAGGAGCTTCACACTCTGCTGCCGCTGCGCCCGCCCCCCGACGCCGCTGCGGTGAGGCGGGGCGGCAACGAGGCCGCGCTGCCGCCGACGCAAAACGAGCCACACTGCGATGCGTGTGGCCTTGTGGAGCTGCAGTTCTCGCCGCGAGGCACCGCGGCGGCGAGGCGCACGCCCGTCGCCCATGCCCTCCTCCTTCTTCTCTGCGCTGTGCCTTCGCGGCCTCCGCTGCCGTCGCCGTTGTCTGCCCCGCTGCGACGGTGCCTGGCCGAGCAGTCGGCCGCGGCAGCGCTGGCGGCGCTGCTCCGCCGCGACGCCGACGTGGCGGACGCGCTCCTCTCCGCGCTGGCGCGCCTCGGCGAGGGCGCGGGGTTTATCTACTTTTTGGCGCTCTGGCGGGCCGCGTTTGCCGCGGCCGCGACGGAAGTGTCCGAGACGATGGCGTGGCTCCTCGCGGGTCTGGCGCGCGGCGTCGAAACGCACCTGCAGCAGGGCGGCGACGGTGGCGGGGCAGGCGGCTTTCTGGCCGCCGTCGACGCCGTCTTTGCGGGCGTCGTGCGCGTCGTGGCGGGTCTTCTTCGCGCCTCTGCGACTGCCGACGAGGGGAACGCCGCCTGCCGCCTGCGAGATTTGTGCGCGCGCGGCTTCGTCGAGGCGTGGGATGCGCTGCTGCGCGCCGCCGCCCCCCTGCACTGCGGGCGGACGCTCGGGGGCCTCTTCTGCGATGCGGTGGGGGGCGGCCACGCCTCCGCAGTGCAGTTGCGGGGGCCTCTCGAGGCTTACTACGCCGCGGTGCTGGAGCGGCGGTGGGCGGTGGGCGGCGAGTGCATGGGGGCCGCACCCGCGGCGTCCGCGTGGTGGCCAGAGGCGGAGGGGCGGGCCGATGCTCAGGGGCACGCGCTGCGGGTGCTGCGGCACACACTGGCGCTGAGCGAGTGCGCCTTCCACGCCGATCGCGTCTGCCCGCCGCCTCGCGGTGAGGCGCGGCGCTGCAGGCACCCGGCTGCCTTTTTCCTGCGGGGCACGACGGGACTCTGCGCGCGTCTCCTTTCGACGCCGCCGCCGGCGGAGGCGGCCGCGCAGGCGCAACTCGGGGAGCTGCAGTGCGTGGCCTCGGAGATCCTCACCGTCGCCGCGAGGACGCTCTGCACGAGTCCCGGGCGGGAGCTTTTTGCCTCGCCGTTTGGAAACTCCCCCGGCCGCCACGCGACGACGTACGCGCGGCTGCTGTACGTGTGTTTTCTGGAGAGGCTGCGCCAGACACCGCGCCCGGAACAGCGCTGCCTCCGGGCCCTGCTGCGGGCCCTGCGCTCTCTCGTTATCTGGGAACGCGCGGCCCACAGCCTCGCCCTGCGGCTGTCGATGCCCAGCATGCTGAGCTGCATGCTCCCGGCGGGGGCGGATGGGTGGCCGTTGACAGCACCCGCGAAGGCACCAGTGCGAGGGCGGCTTCTGACGTCGGCGGCAACTCCCTCCGACGCTTCCCCGCAGGCCGCATCAGGCAACAACCGCGGCAGGAAGGAGGAGGGAGCCGCCGCGAGGCCAATTATACCCACCCTCTCCCTTGCCGCCCTGCCGCTGCCGCAGTACTACGCATGGATGGGGGAGGCGGACGCTGCGGTGGACGCTGGGTCGTCCAGTGCACAGGCGCCACCGGTGCCGCCACTGAAACTCGCCCCTCACTCGCAGCAGCCGCACAGCGGCGACGGCGTGCCTGCGGTCACGCAAGGTCCGCGGGAGGAAGCGATGTGGTCCGCACTGGACGACCCAGCAACGCTGGCTGAGGTGCTGCTCCTGCTCTGCTGCCTGCTGTCTGGGCGCACGGGGGGGATGATGATCAGTCAGCCAGGTCTTGTGGCAGCCCACTGGCAGACGGGAACGCAACCGCGGCAGCCGCAGGGGGAGCGCGTTCGCGGCAACGTGCCATTGACGCGTGTCCTGCGGAAAATAGAGGCGTTCGTGCGCTGTCCTGCGAACAAGGCGCCGCTTCACGCGTTTGACAAACTTGTGGCGGAGGAGGCGCAGGAAGAGAGCCCCTTGTGGACCGGGGTGGAGGTGCTGCGGCGGCTGCTCTTACCGCAGCTGCGGTTGCTTGAGGGGATAAACGTCGCTCGGCGCATTGGCGCCGGCAGCTACGGCGCCGTCTACGCCGCGGAGCGCTCCGCCGCCACAGCCTCTTCGGGCCCGCAGGCGACGCAGCCGGCGGACGGCGCAGAGTTGCTCGCGCTGAAGATGGTTTCCATCGCCCGGCCGGACATGGGGGGCGAGTGCCTCCCCCTGCTCAGCTGCCACAGCGAGGCGACCGCGCTCCTTCGCCTGCGGGGGCACCCCCACATCTGTGAGCTGCGCTTCTTTGGGTGCACCGAAGCGCACTACGTGCTTGCGATGCCGCTCTACAAGGGCGGCTCCCTCCGCGACTGGCGCGTGCGGCGGAGCGGCCTCCCTGTCGGCGAGCCCGCTGCGGAGGCGGCCTCGGATTCCCCGCCTCCTGCGCCTGCAGCTGACCTCCTCGCGGTGTGCGGGCCCGTCTTTGCGCAGGTGCTCGCCGCGGTGGAGTTCATGCACGCCCGCGGCATCCGCCACAATGACCTCAAAGCCGACAACATTCTCATTGAGGGGTTCCAGGGCGAGTCCCCGTCGCATGCTGCACTACCGCAGGCGGCGGCGGAGGCGGAGGCGGGGCGATGCGTGCTTATTCCCGCCACCATTCGAATTTGCGACTTCGGCGTCTGCGAATTGGCGGGGGAAGACATGCTTGCCGTGCGGCGCGGCAGCGAGGCGACCGACGCCGCTGCGGCGTCCTGCTGGGGCCCCGTGCGGGGGACGGAGGCGGTGCAGGCGCCCGAGACGTTCTCACTGGCGGGTATTGCCCCAGCGCGTCCTGGGTCGTGCCGTGCGGCGGTGGAACTTGCGGCGGACATGTGGGGCTGCGGGTGCCTGCTCTACGAGCTGGTCACGGGCGTCATGCTCTTTGGAGGGGGCAACCTTGGCCGGCTGCTTTTCCTCGCCGCCAACCTGCGCCGGGGCGGGCGCGGAAGTTGCGAGGTACTGTCGCCGCAACAAAAGCGTGCGTTCGAGATGGCAGGGCCCGGCGTCGCGGCGTTTGCGGCGCAGCTGCTCTCCGTCGACCCCGCGGAGAGGCCCACTGCCGCCGCGGCCCGGCAGGCGTGGGAGCGCGTCCTCCTGCAGGCGCAGGCGGGGCGTGGCGTCGGCCGCGACGGACAGAAGTGAGCCAGCGGAAGTGCTGCGGGGTGACAGCCTTTTCAGTCTCCTCCTCCTCCTCATTCTCCTCGTTGTTGCTGTTGAGCCTGCGCGTGCGTCTTTCGCCCTGCCGGCCCTGTTTCTGGTGACTGACGCTGCCTCTGCGTGCTCCTCCTTCCGCCGCCTCTGCCTTGTGGCACGCCAGCGTCACCGCGAAAGGTAGCAACAGCAAGCAAAAGGAGGCAAAAAAGTTGCGTGGCACCCGCCAAGCACATAAGCTAAATAAATAACTATATATATATATATATATAGCAATTCCCGTGCCAGCGCACCCACTCACGTCCAGCCAAGGAGGAGGCATGCCCGAGCCGCGGGAGATGAAGATTGCCTGCATCGGCGCCGGCTACGTCGGCGGCCCGACGATGGCGGTCATCGCGAAGCAGTGCCCCCACATCACCGTGCACGTGATGGACGTCTCGGAGGAGCGGATTGCCGCGTGGAACGTCCCCGCCTCCGCCCCCGGCGCGAAGCTGCGACTGCCCATCTACGAGCCGGGGCTCGCCGACATCGTGGGCGAGGTGCGGGGGCGGAACCTCTTCTTCACCACCGACCACAACTGCATGAAGGGGGCCGACGTGATCTTCGTGGCGGTGAACACCCCCACGAAGGAGACGGGCGTCGGCGAGGGGATGGCGGCGGACCTCACGTACGTTGAGAGCTGCGCCCGCCTCATCGGGGAGACCGTCGGCGACGGCCACCACGTCGTGGTGGAGAAGTCCACCGTGCCGGTGCGCTGCAGCATCTCCATCCGCCGCATCCTCCGCGCGTACAGGCGCAACGACGCCGTCTCCTTCGCCGTCGTCAGCAACCCGGAGTTCCTCGCGGAGGGGACGGCGGTGCGGGACCTCATGGAGCCCGACCGCGTGCTCATCGGCGGCGACGACGAGGCCGCGATCTCCCTCGTCTCCGCCATCTACGAGAACTGGGTGGACCGCGCCCGCATCATCCGCACGAACCTGTGGTCCAGCGAGCTCTCCAAGCTGGTCGCGAACGCGTTCCTGGCGCAGCGCATCTCGTCCATCAACTCCGTCACCCCGCTCTGCGAGCTCACGGGGGCGGACGTGCTGGAGGTGCGCCAAGCCCTCAGCGCCGACAGGCGCATCGGGGCGCTCTTCCTCAACCCCTCCGTCGGCTTCGGCGGCTCCTGCTTCCAGAAGGACATCCTCAACCTGGTCTACCTCTGCCGCACCCTCTCCCTGCACGAGACGGCGGAGTACTGGTCGCAGGTGGTGAAGATGAACAACTATCAGAAGGAGCGCTTCTACCAACGCATCGTCCACGGCTCCTTCGACACCGTGCGGATGAAGACAATATCCATCATGGGGTTTGCCTTCAAGAAGGACACCGGAGACACGCGGGAGAGTCCGGCCATCCACATCTGCGCCCGCCTGCTGCAGGAGGGAGCCAAGCTGCGCATCTACGACCCCAAGGTGACACGCGAGCAGGTGCTGCTGGAGCTGGAGAACTTCTTCAACAAGGAACACCTCCTGAGCTGCTGCAGCTACGAGCGTTTCAAGCGGAATGGGCCGGGGCGCGGCGGCGGCAACGTGGAGGGCATGTTGAAGAACGTGGAGGTGGTGGACGCGGCCCTGAAGGCGTCCGTAAACGCCAGCGCCATCGTCATCCTGACGGAGTGGAACGAGTTTGCCACGATGGACTACGCGAGGCACTATGAGGTGATGCAGCGGCCGGCGCTCGTCTTCGACGGCCGCCTCGTGGTCGACGCGAAGAAGCTGTCGGCGATCGGGTTCGAGGTGTGCGCCATCGGCAAACCGCCGGCCTCAAGCCACGAAAGCTTCCTCTACGACAGCCAGTGATAAGGAGAGGGAGAAGGTGAAAGTGAAAGATATAGAGAGAAATAAAAAAAAAAAGAGAGTTAGGCAGTAACGGAAGAAGAGGAAGAAGAAGCGTGCCTCCCCTCCCCTCCCTTTCCCACTTCTTTCTCGCTCTCTTTCTGTGCGTGTGTGCGGGGAAAGGGACCGAGAAGGAAGGAAGGGGAGAGCAACACCGCCTAGCGCACGGCCGGCTCCGCAAGGAGGTGTCGCTGACGCCGGCTTCTTATCGTCAGTCTCCTCGGTCCCTTTTTTTTTTCTATTCCTTCTGTGTGCCTGTTGTTGTTTTTCTTTTTCCCTTTTTATTTATTTATTTATTTTTTTGTTTGGTATGCATATATATATCTGTATATATATATATATGTGCTCTCTGCAAAGTTTTGGTCACCCCCCTCTTTTTTTTGTGTTCCATGTCCCTGTTGTACCGGCACCGCGACCCGCGAGGTGTCACTTTTTTTTGTGTTTTGTTGTTGTTGTTGTTGTTGTTTGTAGTGTTGCACTTCATTTAGTTTAACATCTCTAACTTGCGCTTCTATGTGTGTGTGTGTCCGTGCGTGCAGGCGGGGTGGGGGCGCGAGTTGATATTTCTTTCCTCCACGAGGGGAGGTGTGCGTGTGCCGCCCTGCCACAGCCGTCGTTTCCGCACACATCCACGCAGGTCCAAAGTCACAGCCACACACGCAGACGGTCGCACTCGCACGCCTCTGGCTGCTGCGCCGGTCCCGCGCTGTCCCCCCACCCTCCACAGTGTGACTCACTCTCTCTCTCTTTCTCCCTCTTGCTTTTGCCCTTTCACCTTTCCGCCTTGCTTCTCTCTTCACAGGTGGCAGACTGCGGAGCTTGGCGCCTCGCGCGGCCTGCGCCTTCGTTGGGTTGTATGCCGCACGGCG